GATAGAATTTCCCCATTTTTTGTGATGGGCATTAAAATCTCCACATATAATAAATTTTTGACTGTCTGTGCAATTATACCAGAATTCTTCGTCTACTAAGACATCTGGGGGAATATATATTGAGAGAAAGTGTATATCCTTCAGAGTGATTCCTAAAATATTGACCTTATTGGGGATAGGGAAATTCAGGTCTAATGTGCTGAAATCAACACAGTTTTTGACCATTATCCCTGATCCCCCCTTTCCATCATCTCTGTTATGTAAAATTATTTTATATCCTCTGATAGATACTACTGTATTTGGCTTAAACCAAGTTTCTGTTAAGAAAATTAGATCAGGTTCATGTTGTTCTATAATTTGGATCAAGTTGGCTTTATTTGAATGGAAGCTTCTTATATTCCAGATTATTAGTTTGATCCTGTCCATGGACTAGCTTCTTTGTTTAGGTCTGTTAGAGTGTTTGGGTTTGAACAAGTGGGTGGAACGAATTCCTTAATAACTTCGAGAAATAAATCAGGGTATTTGAAATAGATATTACTCATATCATCTCTCATTTTTTGTAAGATAACGGAGATTGGTGGAGGGGGCCCGAGGGAGTAATTATATATAGGGGTAACCGTTTCTCTGATTCGACCATCAGGGTTGATAAGGCCTTTTTTATGCTCCTCATCAACCCCACTTCTCTGTGTTCTCTTCTCTTGAGAGTGATCTTGCCGATTTTTGGGGTATATTACTCTGGTAAAGGTATTAGAACTAATGTTAGGGCCTCTTTTAGTAGCCTGGTTGTATTGAGTTGGAATTTTGGGTCTAGGGGGGGTTGCTTCATTAAATATTTGAGACATAGTCTGGCTAGACTTAGGTAATTCTGGGTAGTTATTGACATTGAAATTGTGTTGATTTTTCTGAGTTTGATCATTATTTCCACTATTAATGTTGCTAGTTGTGTTTGGAACTAGTTTAGCCGCCTCGAAAAAGGTTATGTTCCTTTCCCCTATAAGTTCTTTGATTCTTTTTTGTCTTAAAAATTCTGGGCAAATTCTATTTCTGAAGGGAGTGTCAGTTTCATTTGAAAGGTGGTTACCATTGCAATAAAGACATCTAGGTTCGTTTTCATGGCATAGATCTTTTTCATGATTTCCTGCGCATTTCGGGCATCTGGTTTTTCCTTTACATTGTAATTTAGTGTGTCCGTATCTTAAACAATTGTGGCATTGAATAACTGGTGCATAATAGTTTAAAGTTTCAAAAACGCAATTGTATATGTAAATGTTTTTGGGAATATATTTCCCTCTGAAAGTTACTAATATTACTGGAATATCTATATATTGCATTTCACCATTAATTATACTCTTTTTCTTCAGTCTCCTCACATGAACTATTTTCCTATTATCTATTGTTTTAATATTTTGTTTTATTTCCTCTTCAGAAAAAGTGGTATCAACATCTTTAACAATCGCCTTACATGTGATCAAGTTGTTAGGAATGGTAGCATTAAAGTTATTTTTTGTTAAGAAATGATTATCTTCTAGCAAATTATTTGCCTCCTCTATTTTTTTGAAGGTAAGTAGCAGTCTATTTTTCCCTCTCCTCTCAATAGAAGTTGGGTTATATCTTGAGCTCTGATGGAATATTTTGCCTACCGCTAAATTGGATAGAAAACCAATGTTTTTGTCTAAAGATTCAATATAAATAGAGAATGGGCCAAAATCAGATTTATCAAATCTATTTTCTTGATCAGTATTGATATTATTATTCCCTGTAGCATTATTTTCATAATTACAATCCATTAAATCATTTTGAGGAGATGATTCCTTTGAGTTATTATCAAGGTTATTTTTATTTCCATTATCTATTTTAGATTTCTTGCTCTCCCTAGGTTTATTTGTTTCTGTCCTTGGAGTTTTTTTGTTGACATTCCTATCTGAAGAGTCGGCTTTTTTCACCAACAGGTCTGATAAAATGTTTATTCACGACTAATATATTATACTTGTGGATTTTGAAGTATAATGCCATATATTAATCCCGCAGGGAATAAAGACTATTAATCCCTCGCCATTATTCCCTGCGGGATTAATATATGACATTATACTTCAAAAACCACAATTATATATATATAGTCGCAAATAAAGTAGAGTATACTACTCGCAATAATGGCTATTATTCTCTCGGAATGTTACTCCCTCGCCGCTAACGCGGCTCGGTTCGTAAAAAATCCTCGAGAATAATAGCTATCATTATTGACTCGTGGTATAATCTACTATTATTTTTGATGAAGGAAATTTGACCTTGAGATCACTTTCTTCATCAAAGTAATATCCATCTTTTATAGTTTCATTGAATTCAGAGATAAATTCCTCATTGATGTCAATATTTGTAATTAATTCATTACATATATGCGGATTGAACTCATGATTGTTCGCGAATAAGAATAAATTGCCAACCGCTTCCCTAGTGGAAGGCGATCTATCTATCAATTGTTTGCATTCCCAAACATCTTTACTGAGAGAAGTTAAACTTCCCCCGGGATCACCGGGGGAGTTATCACCCATTTTGAACTAAAGCCAAGAATAAGATTTTACAATTCCGAAAAAATATGTTATGTATAACAGGAAAAAAATTTCCAAAATTCTACTATTTCCCAGAAAAATTACCCCAGACAGGACAACTACATACACTTACTTGTTTTAGTTATCAGAAATATACACCCTTCTACTGCTTCTACTACAGGACACAGGTTATGATTAGGTAGCAGGATTTCACCGGTAAAATTCTATACGACACGCTGACGATGTTGACCATACGACGTTCACCGCAAGCGTTCGATCCTAGAAAGTCCAAAGGAAAATAAAGATATTTATTTATTTATTTATATTTATTCTGGCATTCTTAGATCTAGAGCTCTATGCTCACTCTAGTAGTATTGACGTTGACGTATGACGTGATTTCTTGACGTCATTGACGCCACTGTCAATGTTTCTTCGATTCATATGGCTATGACAATGAACTCAATAGTTGTTTATATTGAGTTCATTGGGCTATAATTGAGTTCATTATTCATATGGAATGGGATGGAATGTGCATGACAAAATGTTGGAATGAAAAACGCACCAAATTTGTCAAAATGACACGAAGTATGGAGAACATATCCATAGATATACAGACTGGTCTAAATTTGACTTAGATTAGATCGTGAATATAATGAATTATCTATGGGAATATTATAAAAATGGAATAATTTTTATAGAAATAGAGAAAAAAAAAAAAGGATAAAAATTAGATAGAAAAAATGGTTGAATGGCTAGCCATAAAATTGCTGAGTTGGTAGCACTGCAGCAAAATGTCACGTGGTTTGGATTGCCTAATGCAAATCAATTATATGGAGTTCATTGATGGAAATCTACTGAGAACTAAAGATAACCGGAGAGAAAATATTCGTTCAAGTTTGAAAATAGCACCCCTGGTTATTCGGGTAACTTCGGAAATTTTAGCTGTTGGTTTTACACCCATTTCATAGCGAATTCCATTCGTAAACCTGTTGGTGCACTGGTTTTGCACCAGTTTTGCATCCGCACTACGTTATAGTTCTCTCCAAAATGTGAACTGGTGCATTTCCAACGGAATACGAAATAATATAATAACATTTTATTGTTGAAGGTTATATCGGATAAATTTGTTTGTCTTTGTTTGTAACTTGTCTGCATCCTGGAATTCTTTCTTGACTTCGATTAAGAACAAAGTAGATATTTTATGGAAATAATTTTGAGCAGATTTTTCAATAAGTACCTCTTCATCATTGAATTATAGTGCAAAATACTCAACAAAATTATGAATTCTAGGAAGTAATCTCTCTTATTTTCTTGAAACCTCCAAATTTTCATCACTACTTGATGATGATGATGATTATATTGCCACTCAATTTTGGTTTTAAACCATGCATATCCAATGTTTCCGCCATTTTCAAAACTGCACTGACTTCGCACGACCTATTAGAGCTCGTGCGGGAATTGTTGCACTGAGCTCTAAACCAAAAATCCGACACCAGTTTTACTAACGGAATACAAAATATGCACTCAGTGCGAGCCAGTTTTACCAATGGAATTTGCTCTCACACTGGTTCAATGTCGGATATCCGTTAATCAACCAAGGTTACTGATGCTTTCAGGAGCGGTACCAAAGAAGAGAGGCGGTACTAACAATTTCGACAGTGGTTATCAACTGACTACGGTTTACGGTTGTGGTTCATTTACGGAATGCCAGTCATTTGTCAAATTATACGATCAAACGAACTTACCTGTGAAGTTCGATCATAATTATACTAAGCGCCTCGCCCGAAAAGATCACTTTATTACTATGTAGTACAGGTGCTAAGCTGGTCACACGTTTTAAGCACTGACACTTTTGTTCTTTGTGTATATGGTTTTGTGCCTGCTCTATAGTTATATGTTCTATGTTAAGCTACTTCATTACCTTTCAAAGTTTACAGGCGTGCAACATTCATTTTGGGTGGGAATTTTAAACTCTTATCCCAGGGTGGGAGTGATCTTTTCGGGCGTAGTATAATGCGAAAACTAAAACACGACAACGTATCTAAGTCAACGTCAATTCAAACTTACCGAACTCACTAGAGAAAATCCACGGTCGTTCAGGTGACAAATTCTCTCGATTTTTCATCAACCGAGTTCCGTAAAGAACCTTTTCTTCAGGATCCAACCGAACATTTCATATTTACGGAACGGAAAACTACTACCCGAAATAACCAAGTTGATTTACGGAACATACCCGTCATATGTCATTTTCAGTATTGTCACTTTTGTCAGTTGTCACTGTCATGTCAATTTCTCAATGTTATTGTTTTTAAACGTATGTCAAACGTTGGTGGTTGAAAGTAAACATTATAAAACGAATCAAAGTTTATATCTCAGTCTATATCTTCAATCATCTTACTTTTTGGGATATCTTTTGAAGATTTATACACACAGTTCGATTGAAAATCCTTCAGAATGTCTATTGGAGTGCCAATTAAAGTTCTTCACGAAGCAGAAGGACATATTGTCACTTGTGAAACCATTACCGGTGAAGTTTACCGAGGGAAACTCATAGAAGCGGAGGATAATATGAATTGCCAAATGACTCAAATAACCGTCACGTACCGAGATGGAAGGGTCGCTCAATTGGAAAATGTATATATCAGGGGATCCAAAATTAGGCTTCTGATATTACCTGATATGTTGAAGAATGCTCCAATGTTCAAAAAGCAAACGAAGGCAGGAACGGCTGGACGTGGAAAATCTGCGATCCTCAGGGCACAAGGTACATCTTAATTCATATTATTACAGGCTTAGAGAAATTTTTTCATAAATTGTTTACTTATTCAGTATCAATCAAAATTTTATTGCATAAGTTTCTCAAATGATGTTCTATTCCTCAGCTGAGCCATTTTTTTGAGTTTCACCAATTCAATATATTGAGACCAATAGGCATATTCTTGGCTCACATTAAAAAAAAAACAAACATGAAGGAACTTGTCAAAATCCAAGATTATCACTAGTTATAATGCATATCTATCAAAAGCATATCATTTGATGATTACACTCATGATTACATGAGGTGAATCAATAGTTCTGATTGTAGGCTCAATAACCATCTCATTTTGGAATGTTTTGTTACGCAGTTCCTAAAATAATCTTGTGGCTTCAGGTGAACTCAGCAGAGCTATTTCTGAGAATAATACATTTTGCACCAATTCAAAACATATTGGGATCTCAAGGCTTATTTAGGCTGTTTGGTTTATTTTATATTGAAAATGTTTGCTCCATGTTTCTAGAAAAAGTGAAAAAAAAAAGGATTTGTTGATATTGAACCCTCTGATGGGCTTGCCTCAAATCAAAACATGAGCTGGCATGCCACACACTGTGTGCTCCAGCTGTATATATTGTGGCTAGACATGTTGAACTACTTTCATGTTTTTTGTTTTATATATAAATAAAAATAACTAAAAATAACATTGAAAATAAAAAAAGGAACAAATTAGGTCCAACATTTTTTGAAGTTATATATAAATGAATTAGTCACTATCCTCCTTAGGTGATTCGGTTTGTCTGAGAAATTTTGGGCAACTAGTTAGCCTTCCACACAAAGTCTTTACATATATTGCATCTTACAGTAGTGTTGTTATTTTTGGATGTACCACATGTGACACAATGTCCTTTTTTCTTCAGGCCACGTTCTGCTTCATTTGCAATTTCTTCATTTGATTTGTATTTTGCTAGAGATGCTTTGATATCCAGCAGAAGTGAAGTAATGTTTGCCCTTTCCACCTGAAAAGGTTTCATGAGACTAATCAGTGTTGCCAGACAAGATTTTCATTTTGTACCAACCTATCAGAAAAAATGTACCACTTTCAACACTAAATGTACCACTATTCGAAAAATGGCGGGAAACGGTAGATATAATGAAAATCACTTGCAATTCAGTTGTTTTATTCACAATAAGAACATTGCATTGCATATGAAAACAAAAACAAGAGAGTCCTACATATTTATCACATAAATAGGAAAAATAGGTAATACAAAAAATGAACAACTCTGAGCAGGTGAACATATATACCTATAGAATACAAAACAGTCTTATACATTTATCCCATTAATGAAAAATAAAAATCTCAAATAAACAAAACATAATTTGACATAAAAAACGTAAATCAAATGTACTTTGGTTTTCATTTCAACAAATCTTTGGAAGGTTGCCAGGTATAACAAGAATTATCTCCTAATAATTGTTTTGCCAGTAATACTGATTGGCATGTTTCCACATTTAGGTGATTTCTCATATCAGTCTTGATTAAATTCAGGCTAGAAAAAATTTGTTCTGCACTTGCAGATGAATGAGGAAGACACATTATTCCCTTGACCAATTTATTAAGATTGGGGAACATTTCCTCATCCAAATCATTTTTTGTTTAAAAAATTTGGTCCAGAATTTCTCAAAAGAATCGTTTTCATGGTCCTTAATAGCCTGAATGTCTGGTAGAAGTCTCCATTCAGTATTCAAATTCTCAGGATCACTAACTAATTTTTTGAAAAATATTGCTGCATCTGCTATGGAAATTATGTTTCCACTAAGTGCAACTATAGGTTCAAAGTTTGCCAAAAATTTCAGGCCTGGGTCATCAAATTTGAACCTTTTTTCTTATCTGCAAGGTCAATTCTACATAGAAACTTAGAATGTTTGTTCGTATTTTATACATCTCTTCTAGGGGAACATGATTTTCCTGCAGAAAAAGCTGAACTCTTGCACCCATATAAATGCTCTCTGAATTCACAAAATAGTCCGGATTTGAGGGGCTAATCCTTGACAATTCTTTCTCATCCAAAACTTCTTTTCTGATAAAATTCCTGGATATTGTTTTATAAATACTAGTGAACCTTGAGTAAAGAATGTGAATTTGTGTTGTTTCACTTTGAAACTGAAGGTTCATTTTATTGATGATCTCTAAGATATAAGATAGAAATAGGAGGTATATCTTGAACACAGGGTTCTTTAGATTTTCGAGAATGACAGAAGCTGAGAGTAGTTTCTCTTTATCTTCAAAAACAAATGTTGTGAAGTAGGATGTTAATGGGTTCCATAATAACAACACTCTGTCAACAACAGCCTAGAACAAAGTAAATTAGTATCTATATTATATACCTATTGATGAATATATAAACCTACCTGTAGTCTGGCAAGGCCTAAGCATTTTGTGAGGTTTCATGTTCACAAATTTTTGAAATTCCTCAAATTCTTTGATATGCTTTGGTGCATTTGAGCAATGATTGTAAACATTTCTGACAAAGGGTGAGGGTTGCTGGGCTGTGTGCACGTGAATATATACCAAAGAAGGGAAGATTTGTATTTTGTGCAAGATAATTTATTCAAAATATTCCTAGCAGAGAGCTTTCAACTGTTGAGTCATCATCAGTGCGTACTCGTCAGGTTAACAGGAAAATTCGTCCATAAAAATATCTTTGATCCAGTTTAAAACTAAAGACACTAAGGTAAAATACGTTACAAACAAATTAAAATGTGTTTCCCAAAATGGGGTAAAATATGGATTACATTTTGTTAAGCTACCATTGTCGCTGCGACATGTCATGTTGAAGTGAACTTGATGAGTCTGACAAACTCCTCTATGCTCTTGGGGAGTTGTAATGCTGCAGCAGAAGAACAAAGATGCAGAGAATGGCATATGCACCCTAACACCATCAAATCTTTGTTCACTTCTTTCAATTTTGCTTGTATGCCACTTTTCACTCCCATTATGACAGAGGCATTATCTCCCGCAAAACCTAGCATATTGTTAATAGAATAGAACTTTATTTACGGTTATCCATTGAATACATTATAATCACAAATATTATTACAAGATGGGAAAATATATATATATATATATAAAATATATACCTATGTAAATATTCAACAAATACAAATAAACATAAATAACAAGAGAATATCCTAAATCAGTATGAATCTATCACAGTTATCACTCACAGTTGCTATACAGAGTGGGCCTTTGAAAACGAAACAGAGGCTTTGTAGGTCGCCAAAACCGGATTATCAAAAAAAACTGGAACACGTCAACTACATTTTCGAGGGGGACAGCTTTCTAAAATATTTTCAGCCCTGCGGCGTTGCCGCTTCTAACGAAAAGAAGCAACAACTTTGTTATTTCAAATGGAACACCTTGTATTTTATTGCATTTTTAGATTCTCCCCGAAGAGCTGATTTCATCAATGCATCACACTTGGGGTCTAGCTGTAATGGTTTCAGGGATATAAAGTGTTCAAAATCGAGATTTTTCAACTTTGACATTTTTTTGTGTCGAAACTATTCATTATTGGTCGGAACGGCTCTCATGTCCCTATCTCAACTTGTGATTTACTATCTACTGACATTTATTTGAAACAAATACAGGGTGGTTCAAGATTCAGAATTCTGATCACCCTGTATCTGTTCCAATTAAATGTTAGTAGATAGTGAATCACAAGTTGAGATAGGGACATGGGAGTCGTTTTGACCAATAATGAATAGTTTCGATACAAAAAAATGTTAAAGTTGAAAAATCTCGATTTTGAACACCTTATATCCCCGAAACCATTACAGCTAAACCCCAAGTGTGATGCATTGATGAAATCAGCTCTTCGGGGAGAATCTATAAATGCAATAAAATACAAGGTGTTCCATTTAAAATAACAAAGTTGTTGCTTCTTTTCGTTAGCAGCGGAAACGCCGCAGGGCTGAAAATATTGTAGGACGATGCCCCCCTCGAAAATGTAGTTGACGTGTTTCAGATTCTTTTCATAATCCGGTTTTGGCGACCTACAGAGCCTCTGTTTCGTTTTCAAAGGCCCACTCTGTATATCCTAGATCATTATGAATCTATATCACAGTAATCAAACACAGCTGCTTATAAAGGGGTACTATTAATGGTAATCAATGACTTCTTGAATAACTGAAACGAATTACTGAAAATGTCGAAATGTATACAATTATTATTGTATTCCCTTGGTATCCTTGAGAGAGGGCTATGCATGCCATAATTTGTGGAATGATGGTTAATGTAAAATAGTGCTTTGTTTCTAGTCCTACTGTTTGTACTTAGCTGAAGTTCGGATACAAGTTTGTGACAGTCAATGATACCATCTAATAATTTATATTGAATTGATTGAAATAACATACTGTTGTCACACCCAGAAGAAAATATGCAAGCAAAGCTATACAACTGAACTGTGCAACTATGAAGATTTAAAAGTAAATCTGAAACAAAAGCTAGATTTTACAGATATACAATCACTTGAATTTGATCAATTAGCTGAAATCATCATAACTGAAGCTAAAAAGATAACCAAAACTATTACAAGAAAATACACAAATAATGTTAAAGAAGGGTGGTTTACTATAGAGTCCCTGTATGTATTTGACACTTTTGCTGTAATAAGAGTACGGACACTATGACAAGCAGTGACAGAGGGCATAACCCTAAAAAATTTGAAATTACATGAACAATTTGGCAGGCACTGACAGTTCATGAACGTACATACATGACATTAAATTATTTGAAAATTCAGGTTTTCAAAAATTAAAATGTCTAATTGTGTAGTGGAGAATTGCAAAAATGGAAGCGAGTCCTTTCATTTATTCCATGTCCCCCATTCTAACCAACAACAGTTACAGAAATGGAAAGAAAATATGAAGCGGCCACTATGGAATTTGAATTCAGGTAGCAAGATTTGCGAAGTACTGGATATTTGAATTTTTCGATTGAATATGATGCATATTCGAAGGAATAATATCATTTATAATTTCAATTTTAACATTATAGGTGCACTTCAAATGTGAAGATTTCATAGTGGAACATATACTATCAAATTAAAAGAAAATGCGGAGCCTTCATTCCATCATCAGAAGGATTATCGAAGACATTTCTTATCGAATTCAGGACAAATTCAAGTAGAATACCAAGATGAAATTAAATGTATTTTGGATCACAAACAAGAAATTCTCGAAGATTTAGAGAGAAGATATGCCGAAATTCAAAATTTATTAATAGTTAATGATGAAAGATACAGAAAAAAAAATCAAAGAAAAGGACGAACATTTGAAAAATAGCTTGAAGCAAAGAGATTCTGAAACAAGACTGCAAGTTACGAATATTCACAACTATTATAAGGAAATAATTTTAGATCTTCAACTATCTCATCAAAAATCTTTGGAAGAGTGTGAGGAAACTGATAATGCAAGAATACAGGCAATTTTGAATCGACTCAAGACCCAAATTGATAGTTTCGGAATATATTTAAACCAAAATTATAGTCAATTCCAGTATTTTAAAACGCGAATCAATGAAATCGATTACAAATTAAAAGGTATTCTAAGTAAAGTTGCTATTTATGAGCAACATATTTCTCATAATTCTGAATATAATGGTAATAGATGGAATGCAGAGAGTGTCGAAAAAGCTTTAGTCATAAAATTCATGTGTGGATCATCCGGTTATGAAACATTACAATGGAAAGCGTTGAGTCAGAATTGGAATATGATGAATCGGAATATTGAGCACAATGCCGCGTGGATGATAAAAAAAGGTCCAAAATGTTAGTGGTCGCAATTTGTAAATTGTGACCATGGGTTCACGAGATATGTACACCATCGAATATGATTCATTGTGAAGATTGTGTTCCAGATCAAGGACCAAGTAACTCTACAGCTCTGAGACATAAAATTTGATAATTTATACTGTTATGTTGTAAAAGCTAGTTTTTTTTTTTCAATTTCATAAAATAGTTTAATTCTTACGAGAATAGCATGTTGCCATATTACCCAACCTGTGATGCCATATTACCCTTGGTATGGAGTAATATGGCAATATGATATTACTATGCATTTTTACTTGTAATCTTTTGCTGTGTGGAAAAATGGCAACGAGCGACTCTGGACACAAAAATATATTGTGTAAGCTCTAACGTGCAGCCATCGTCTTTCAGCTAGGCGCGATGGTTATTAGATTGTGAGCATTTAAATTTTATGTTGCCATATTACCCCACTTTACTCTACCATTATTTGAAATTTTGTATTCTTGTCATAGGATATACTATTCTTGAATTATAATCATTAAACTTGTATTTGTCGAATTTTCTGATCGTTCATGCCCTATGAAGTGTCTTAGTATGTTATGAGAACAAATATGAGTTTGTTAATTGGTTGAATTGTTCTTCCCATTCATTTACATTCTGCCCATCAGAACTGGCTACTAAATCCTGACTCTATCTATTGAAAAACTAGTGCATCCTAAAATCAAATAAATTGAAGTACATATACCCTTTGTTAAGTATATCGAGAAATACTTTCAACAAATATTGATTTACAAACTATGACCCCTTTTCGCCAGTGAGATGAGACGCCACTTCTTTATGAAAATAAAGACAGAGAAAGATATATGGATGTACCCTTCACCGCGGCAGTAGAGGATAGAAGATCCGAAGTGCATGAAAAAGCATATCCATGTCTTTGTTCAAAAGTCATTTTGAGAATTTGGGGTTATGCCTTCCGTCACTGCTTGTCATAGTGTCCGTACTCTTATTACAACAAAACTGACAAATATTTACAGGGAATTATACATACAGGGACTCTAGTTTACTAAAGAAGTAAGGTGTAAGATGAGGGCAAGGGACAAAGCATATAAATTACACAAAAAAAAACCTGGAAACGAATTTTGGTCTTCCCAGTTCAAAAACCTAAATAAGGAAGTGAAGTCGTTAATCACTAAAAACAAAAAACAACACACAGAAATGCGCATCCAAAATGCTGAT